TCGGGTTAAATGTTACATTTTTTTTGATAATTTGTTAGATAGTCAATTTGTAGGAGAAATTAACTCAATTTTTGGAAGGGAAAATGAAATAATCATGTTATCAGTTAAAACGACGTTATCTTTTGCGGGGACAATAAAATGAGGCGCACCAGTGACATATAGATAATTACTGTTTATATCCGCTACGCTAAGCATTTGGCATTTGTCAAAGTCTCTCTTGTAAAACGTAATAACCCGATAGGCAAATAATCTAACTTGGAAGGATTATTTTGTTGTAAAGGAAAAAATCAAAGAGGCTTCTCATGAATTTTATCTCCAAATTTTCTTTCTTTATTGTTTGTTAAACGTATTAAATTTTGATAAAATGTAGTATACATGAAGCACAGGGGTAAGTAAGTGCAACTGAGACGTTTTGGAAATATGTATTTAGTTATTAAAGGGTTGACTAGAAATGATTAAGAATGTTATCGAAGAAAGTATTGGTATAATTAAGATCTTCCCATACATTAGAAAATAATGGTATATTAGATATTCAGTACACAGAGTTCAAAGCTGTATAAACACCTTGGTTAACAATTTTTACTATCATCTTGCACTTTGTTTTTGTTAAGTGTCGAGTAATGCATTTTTTATCGCAGTAATTTATTGAAATCAATGAAAATCTTATTTAATATGTCTAACTGGGATAAAAAGAATGTATAAGATATTTATGGGAAATTGCATTTACGACTCCTGTAACGTTGGTTACTTCTTTAAAAAACTTATTACGAATGACACTATGTTTTACATATTGTGTCCACCTTTTATTGTTTTTACAACATAACTTAACTTGTTTGTGTAAAGTCAAAACATGTTTGCTTTATATTTAAAAAGAGACGGTGTAGCAATTATCAATATTTACAAAGATAAATTTTGAGCATAGTATATCTTTATATGAAACACGTTTTATATTATAAACTGTTAAAAAGTTGATATCTGTTGTTTACTTATTTTAGTTTTTCTAACAACATGTTTCATAAAATCATCAATTATATACTGTTTATGAACAGTTGACCAAGGAAGGAACAGACAAAGTGGGTATAAATGTTTCAAATCTAACACCTGTAGAGTATGTATGTCGAAAATTTGATTGGTTTTACGATACTATATAACACATATGCCAATAGAAACAAAGTTAAATATTATTCATTGAGAAAAACAACAACAACAACCCACCAAGAAGAAAAGAAAACGACAACCAAAAACAAAAACAACAACAACAACAACAACAACAGCAGCAGCAGCAGCAGCAACAGCAGCAGCAGCAACAACAAGAACAAAATAACTACAAAAAAAAACAAACAAAACACAAATCATGTGTGCGTGTTTTTCCTTTTGCCGCCATCTTTCTAACTTAAAAGCTAAAGTTCGTATTTCAGTAACTTACAATATGCACGATTATATCTAAACTTTAAATATTAATGTCACATATAGTGCTTATAAATTCATCTTGTGATATAAAGGCTATGGGTGCTTTTATCGTCCTTATAACATCACAAAAACTATTCCTTGCAAAGGCATATATGCTTTTGAAATTCTGCATTCCTGTATGTAAATCAATATAAATAGAAGATGGACAAATGTAATGTGTATAAATAAGAATGCAATCAACACACATGGATTGTAACTTGTAATATCATGATACATATACTTTAGGCGAATGTTCACCTACATTGTGCTCATCACTCATTTGAGCTACATGCCTCTTAAATAAGAACTAACCACCTACAAGGTTTCAAGTTGGTCTACAGAAACTGTGAACCAGTTAAAATTTTACGTCGCAGACAAAATCTGCGATAAACTTACATGTAATAAAGTGTGTATTACGATAAATTTTCCTTATGGTTTAGTTGCATGCGCAATGTTTTAAAGCTGACAGCATGCCAACGAGCAAAGTATTTAAATAACGGGAAATGGAAAGTGTTAGATCATAACACAATTCAGTGCAATCATTCATGTTATTATATACTAAACAAATTTTGCGTTTAAAATGCAAATTTGTGTATAAAGCATCTTCAGGGACCGTTAAATTACATCACTGCAGAGATGCACAGGGCACTAATTAAATATGACGCAATGTTATGTCGCATTATTTTATTTGTTTCATTTGTATTATAATAACCTAAGTTCAGTTATCGCATTCAGTGCTTTCAGCGCTTTGATCTACATCAAAGTGTTACCGATCATATCATTTTCTTTTATCATCAAAGTGAATTCACTGACAAGTTTCTCATGTAACTCAAAACGTTTCATTATGCAAAAAAGCCCGTTTACTTGCTTTAAATGTCTGAAATCGGGAGATTGGTGGTGTGTTTGCAATAGCAGTTCTTGAAGATCTCGGTTTTAGGAAGATTCTACATGAAGATTATCACACCATCTGATATATCTACGAATTCTGAGTACCTTTCACTAAATGTATAGGTTATCTTAAAGCAACAGCAAAGTTATCTATAAAAATATCATTTAAATCGAGTAATATTCTCTTTGACCTTACATAAAAAGTCACGTGGGTTGCCTGGAGAGGTGTTAATATATAATTGCAATATCGTTTTGTGTTAGCCATTGAATTACTTATGTATATAGGAGTTTCAAAAACAGTTATTATTCAGAGCGGGCGCTATGGTGCAGTGGTAACACTGTCTGCCTATCAATCAAGGGGTCGTGAGTTCGATCCCCCGCTACTCCACTTAAAGAACGAAGTGACAACGAGACTGACAAAACCAGAACATAGAAGTCTACAGACTAAACGGATTGTACATAGAAACAGAGACTAAACGGTTACAAACATACAGATACAGAGTAAATGGACCAAAATTCAATTCAAAAGACATATTAACAGAAAAGATGAAAATAACCATTACGGAACAAACAGCAAAATACATACAAAAAGGGACGCCATCCGGCAGATAACAACAAATACTTAACGGAGCATTCTACAAGATACTAAATGGAACAGAGGAATGGAACAGACAACAAGATTCGCAACGGCAGAGACAAAAGAGACTTAATGGAACAAAATACAAGGACATCAACGATACAGACAAAACTTAAACGGAACTTCAAACAATGGACCGGTAATAGAAGAGCTTACGAAATATGAAACAATGTTAACAAATATAGCAAGGGACTTAACAGGAATATACATACAGCAGTTCGCAGAGTAGTCAACAGGACACTAAATAGCACAGACTAAACGCAGAACGAAGACAGAAATAAAAATACATGACAACACACAAATTACTGCCAGCAGACAAGAAACAAAACAAGACTTGAAAACAAGCGGAATAGAAAATATAGACAATACTGTAAAAATAAACTATAAGAGAACTATATAGACAACGTAACGGAAAGGACACTGCTAAAGTCCACTAAGATCGAAAAAAGAGAACCGTGTAACGGAGTATAGTACATATACATATCGGAACAGACAACAATGAGACAAGAAGACACTCCAAAACAGACTTAATGTCAACGATACAGACAAAACTTATTAGAACAAACAAGAAAAAAATAAGACAACAAGACACATAAAATAGGAAATTGGAACAGGAAAGGAGAACTAACGGAATAGGCAAACATCTATACAACACATTAAACGGAATAGAGACAGCTGTGAAGAAAAACATCCAAACTAATGATCTTTGGACGGTTGACACCAAAAAATGTGGTACTTACGAAAATTCGTTCACTAAAATAAGTTCTGTATGAAATGAATTAAAGTTTAACCACACATATATATATGAAAAGTGCTCGTACTCGGCGGTTAATGGCGTTTAACCCGTGTATTTAAAAAATCGAAATTATACGGTATAATATACATTATTGTACTTATCAGAGTCGACAAAAGCCAAAATCACACTCGAACGGTAGTTAAGCCATCATTTTCACGAATGATCTTGAAAAGTAAGCAATTTCGTGAAAATATCTTGTTGAGGGATAAAGTATAATGTATGCGGCTTTTTCTCTTTTCAGTGTGGTTAAATGGCCAGCTTATTTGCCGCGTTGGAAATCATGCCAGGTATCCGCTATCTTTTGAACAATTCTGTGATACTTTTTGCACGAATCGTGCGTTATTTTCACATTCCAACGTTACTGGATATACACGGTGTATATAATAAGATATTGCATAGCTGAACGTTCATAAAACAGATTGTGGTATTCACAAAGTAGACCGTATTTTAATATGAGTTTAATATTATATATTTGCCATTACTTTATTTCCGACTGGTAGCTTATTTCAAAATATGTCAAAGAAAATGTTAATCAGCTGTACTGTATTATCTAGTTATGTTTCAATTTATGTTACCAAAATAAAATGACATTTAAACAAATTTATTTGATACAAATAAAACAACCTATTAAATGAAGAAAATAATGTGCTGCTTTCCATAAAACATTTTCAAAAACAGATTCAGATTATGTTAATAAAGTAATGCTAGACAGTGTGATTATATTAAAATACAAACTTTATGTCCTTTTTATTTGTAATTAACATTTTGTTAATGTTCATCTTGTTTTAATATGACAAACATATTAAGCCTTTTAAAAGGATTTTTGGCGAACTGAGCGGTGTCGTGGTCGAGAGGTGAAAGCCTCATAAATTCTTACTTCTTCATAAAGGGCAAACATGAGATTTATAATGTTTAATTCACTGTTCAAAAAAAACATTAGAGGCTTGTTTCCTGAAGAAAGTAGTGATCAATGGAAAATTGTCTGTCATAAATGTAGCAAAATGTAAACAAAGTAGTATTTTGGCTTCTATACAAAATACTTATTCACTATAATAATACTAACGACCAAAAAGAAAAGCAACAAATTAATAAATTAGATAAAAAGATGTTTCAGTTAATTTGCCAATGAGTAAATTTAAGGATACTATTAAAGAACACCAAAATTTAACAAGGGTAAATCTAAATCCGCCCTCTCCCATAGTGGGGACACAAAATACTTTAGAGCTATCAGGGGCGTAGCTGGACGGAAATGAAAGGTACGCACGATACGCTGGGGGTCAAGGGGGCCGCGAAGGGCCCCTTGCGGGTTCAGGGCAGAGCCCTGATGGGGGACCAGGGGGCGAAGCCCCCGGAAACCGGACGAATTTTGCCATTCAGAGATGCTTAGATTTCGAATTTTTATATCAAATTAGTGTCGATAAAATGAAAAATTAAGTCAAAATATTTCAAGAAATGTATTTAATCATCTACACAAAATCATCACTTTTCAAGATTTGACAAATGAAATACAGTCAACGTGAGTTGATCATCTTTTATCCATTAAATTCATAAAGAAAATGAACTGGTTTTCATTAATCGCAGGAAAAAGTTACCATTTTCCTAAAGGCAAAACAATTAATAGTTGCTGTTTTGCCTAATTTTCGTTTTACACCTTAAAAAGTAAAGCAAGACGACGTGGTTTCCTATTAGCAAAAGTGTTTACTATTCTTTCAATGTCTAACTCCCGCTCTCGATAAATGTTCATTAAGCCCAGGCCACTCATCCGTTCTGTCCCCATGGTGCTTCGTAAGTAAGTCTTTACCCGGCGCATCGTAGAAAATGATCGTTCTGCCGTAGATGTTGATACAGGAACAACTGCAAGCAGAATCAAGCATTTGCGAATAATTGGATAAGAATCCTCTGACGCTAAAACAAGCGTTGCCGCAATGTGATCCGGGGATTGAGGACGGCTGTCTGCAAGTCCGATATCACACCACCAAGTCCGCCATCTGTGACATTCTCTCAAAAACGTCATTTCATCTACGTTGAGAGAAGACTGCAAAGCTCTGTAGATTCTCAAGCATCGGTCATCTGTCAGCCCATACTTTTCTACCTATTTTTATAAATAAAAGTTTAAATGATGAGTATAAATGACACGTGTACAACTCCATAGAATTCAAATTAAAAATATTATTTTAAATAACTTTTATGCTTGATTTTTCAACTCAATTCATTTGAAAACAAAACATATGTACAACTATTCAGTGTCGGAAATACTGGTTGTCCTAAAAGCTATATTTAAATATTATTGACTAATATCATTTCATCAATTCATACAAAACATATGTTGTATTAATTACCTGTGCAGGAATCAACCATTGTGCCTCGAACCTATCTCCACATTGCAGGATCCTGTCATTAAGTTCTGTTAACAAGTGGTCAATGAATGGGTAATACATGTTTACCCTCCAGAACTCAGAGACTGTTATTGATGGGGCATTTGCACGGTGTTGCTGGCGGCCAACGTTGCGTGCCATGCTGGGTTGGACGTCAACTCCTAAAGCCACGTTCTCAGCTTTCTCAAACAGGGCATCCCATACTGCATCATCAGCTCGCTCATTCTAATTGATCAAATTATATGTATTATTATTTGTAAGAAAATGTATATATTCTAAAATGTGAGATAATACGAGATATTGTATAGCCTGGCAAAATATAAGCTACAAATTAATTTAGATGTAAACAAACATTGTAATGTTCAACTGATAAAAATGGGGCAATCTTTTATAATATTAGGTAGATATCAGGTAGTTCTTATATTTTATCTAAATTTTTTATTGGTCTGTGATCATTCTAATGGTAAATCTTTTAAAAACATAATTTATTGATCTCAACTTGACAAAGGAAGAAATGAGCAGCATGTTACAGTCGTATTTGCATTTATATACCTGCAATGTTTTAACGACAACTTTGGTGTCTGTGAGGGCCCGCACGAGATCGCAGTCTTTTTTCTGCAGTGTAAGGGACAAAGGTACTAGCGCCTCCAGAACGTGCTGCGATGCCACCAGTGTGATAATAAATCCAAACTGCTGTATAGACAGACAGTGACCAGTAGCTTTACTATCGCCATTGTCTGATAGCGTCTGCAATGCTGTAACAACTGTCCTGATGGCATAAATAGATACAATGTATATACCAAACGTCAAATTAATATGATAAAGAAAGGCATAAAAAACAAGAGGAAACTAAATTAAAAATATTATCAATTTATTTTCAATCACCAAGCGGTAAATACTACATGCAGTTTATTTTATGTAGCGTTAATTGTACACCGGATATTTCATCTAACATATACCTATACGGTATATGCAATAAATGACATTGTAGGCGGGTAATTACAGTTTAATGATATCATTTTATATTTAATATATTAGGTAGCTGCTTAACTGAAATAACAATAATAAATACCTAAACGAAGCAAGGAACGTTGTCAATGCATCGGCTCTCGCTGCCCATCGGGTCTCACATAGGTTTTGCAGATGGCGTCGCTCCTGCATCTGCTCAAGACTTTCAGGGTCTCCCTCCAATGTCTGCTTATACTGGGCCAAACGCTTCGCTGAATAACTGAATGCAAATGCAATTGTCTGAACTACGTCCATCATGTTGCGAACGAAACCCACCTTGCAAGAATGCACTATTGCAAGATTAAGACAGTGTGCCTTACAATGCGAGTATACGGCATCTGGGATGCGTTCACGGATACGTGCCTGTACACCTTTATACGCCCCGGACATGTTCGAGGCGCCATCATAACCTTGCCCCTTCATGTTATTAATGTCGATACCTGCAAATAAATGCATACATTGCAAACATGAATGATTTTCGGTATTGCCAGTAATAGTAACTTTTTTGCCATTTTGGTTTATTTTAATAAACATATATATTTTAGCTTGATTGCGACAAAAATTCTTGCAACTTATATTAATCACTTTCGAGTACGCTTCCTGGAACCAACCAGTACTGGTGCCACATAAAGTAACATGGTCGTGACCCAATTATGGCTCGAACCCATGATCCCTGGGTTGACAGTCAGACACCTTAACCACTAGGCCATAGCTTCCCTTATGCCATTTTAAGAGGGTACATTGCCTGAAAATTTAAAATATATTCATAGACACTTAGGGATACGGATCGGGTGGATCGAACTTAAACCAGCATCCTAATAGAGTACACGTAAAATCAGATGAAAAATATTTTCATAAATCTTAACACATTCAATTCATATACATAAAATTTTAACTTTAAGAGATACATGTAGTTTTTGAAGAAGAAAAACTTACTGTAATAAAAATGTTTACTACAATTCAAGGCATTTATATTTTTCTTCATTCTGCTGAAGATAAAATGAAATATTGAACATGTACTCTTACAGGTTGATGTATATATATTTTTTCATTTTTTTTTAATCTGTCAATGCACACAATATATTAATCTTTATAGATTTTCGGTAAGTTTCGTGAGATGAAGATGTGATAAAATTTAATTTGAGTCTATGAAATGCGTTATATAGCGCAATAGGTTTATAATTTCATAATGCCATAGGTGTTGTTAGATCGAGATCGCGTATATTTATGTTCTTTTTTTCTTATTTATTGGTTCAACATATTTGAAGAATGATTGTTTTCTATGATTTTTATGATTTTCGTTTTGTTTTATATGTTTTGTTATATGTTTTGTCAGAGACATAGATGTTATCTACATCTCTCTGGTTTTGCACTTACTTTTGCACTTACTCTTCAAATAACATGATTTAAAATTCATTCGGATTAAAATAAATTGATGTCATTTCAATGCCGTTAAATACAAAGTGTTTCTAAGTTGCTTCTTATCCGTGAAGACAATTTTCCAAAAAGCAGGTGTAAAACAATGGCAATATTAGGGATCGAACAACAGACCTTTCATATATTAGGCAATCACTTAACAGACTGTGGTTTAGCAGATGTGATGACGCCACATACTTTAAGCTTGTGTGACTTTTTCAAAACATTAGTTTTATATGCTCCATATTAATTTTCGTAAACAAGAACAGAAGTGTGATCGAATACTTTTAATGAGTACTATAATTATTCATTATTGACAGGTCAATAAAATTAGACTATAGGAGGGTTAAAGAGTGGGCAAAGGTGCGGGTGGGGGTAATGACCAATCAACGCGCCGAACACCTTTGCTTGTAAGTTGTAATCGTTTAGGTTAGGGTCCGAGGATAATCAATCCGATCCCAGAGAGAGAATACGTACTTTGTAATTTTGATGAAAATAATATAAGGAATTAATTAAATCTTTTTCATCTAAATATTTTATATGAGAATATAACTCTAAATATATATGTTTTACTTTATTACCTAATTGTTCAAGCCTGTGTAGGAATGCAGTTGAGAGTGCCTCGCCGGTAGTGCTGGAAGTCTCTGAGAAACCTAAAAATTCCTCACGAACAAGGTTGTCGTCCACAAATCTCACGCACAATGCCATCTGCTCCATTGTTGATGCATCCGTTGCTTCGTCAGCAATGAACCCAAACATCCCAGCTTTATTGCATGCAGCTACTAAATCTGAAGAGATCTGTTCTCCTGCGATAGAAATGAGCTCATTTTGAATACTTGGAGATGTGTAAAGCGTGCGAGGGTCGCCACATTCCAAGTGTTTCTTCAAAATAGCATTGTTCTTTGCTTGAAGTCTTAATAAAGCTTGAAAGTTACCACTTTCGTCGTTGTGGCCTCTTAATGCAATATTCTGTCTGCCACAGAATACTATTGTGTCAACAATGCCGATAAGAATCTGTCGGTTTTTCTCAACAAGTTGGTTGTAGCTGGTGGATATGGAACATTCAATATCACACTTATTCCCGCGTGAGATAGCGAGGAAGTTGTCAGCAGCAACTGCTTTATCTAAATGACTGAAACTTTTATCGTGTTTGTTGAGAATTTTAGCAGCATTACTGTAGTCAGATAGAGGAGACTTTATAAGGGTATTGCCCCTGTTATCCGACCCTGCAAAAAGAGAGCATTGTGCGCAGAAAACACCATCCTTGGAGATAGAATATCGCAACCACTTATACTGCTTAAACCAGGATGCTTGCGCTCGTCGAAACTTCCCACAGATGTAACTGTAAAAAAAGTATAAAAAAATTTAATGAACACTTAAACTCTTGCATGATTTTCACTTGAATTTGATGAAATCTCGTTCAGCAAATTATGATACACGTATGAATAATGTACGTGCATGGTTAATCAAAATGAAATTAGACCGTCAAATTTATACGATTAAAAGTTCAAAATATATGAAATTATATTATATCTACAAAGTAAGATAAGATTGTCATCCATAATAGTGACAAGATAACATCACATATTATTGGGAACAGTTTATTTTTAATGATAATTTAGCCGCAATTTAGATCTAGTATAGCGATATCATTAGACCCTCAGTTAGAAATCTAGTATTAAATTATCATTCTCAGGCAAATCATATTAGATCTAACTACTGAGTACGCTCCAGCTCAGTCCATTATGTTTACGTCATATTGTTGACGTAAACATTATACTATATTTACAAAGATATTAATATCTTTATATAGATCTAGTATTATGTTTACGTCAACAATATTCATTATATTCAGGCATTCTTAAAATTAAAAATATAGACTACAGATATTAAAAGGGATCCACAGAATATACATCTGTATCAGCTTGCTTGAGCTTACAATATTTGATTATAGATTAGAACTTTACTGTAATAAAAATTGAAGATCTTCATCTTATGTATTTTTAAAACATGAATTTGATCAATTCAAAACCTTAGACAGTCAGACCTACTTTTGAGGGAAAGAGAAATTGTCCGGATTCCAGCTAGGCGTAAGAAGAGCAAGCTTCTCATCATGAGTCAATGGTTCTTCATTTTTAAAAATATCGCGATAGTCAGGTTGTGCCATTTTGAAAATTCCCGCGCCGTAAACTTCGGATGTTTTCGGTGTTGCTACACTGACAACAATTTCTTCGGAGTGGTCCCCCTTTGCTTCGCTACACAGAGCGTAGCCAATCAGGGAGTTAGCTGTGTTATATTTAGAAAACTAAGGGAGTGAACGAATATTACAATGATTTAATTGAACAAAAATTTTACTTTTTCTTACATATATATAAAATGTATTTTTTTTATTCATTTAAATCATTTTTTTGTGCCTAACCAGGTTTAGCCTTTGGTTTTTTATATCATTTTTAGCATAATAAATTTTTTGTCTCCTTGAGCGAATTGTACGCACGTGCGTATTTGGCGTATAGGCAGCTACGCCCCTGGCTATAAAGATAACAGCATTCTGAGGCATAATTGGTCTTTAATATATTCTTGTCGGACTAGTAATCTAAGGATTGCTGACTGTCTGGATTCAAACATGTCAGGGGCAAGCCATTGTTTACTTGAGCAAGAAACATTACACTCATTGCTTAGTACTGGTTGGTTCAAGGAACTGATTCGAGAGTGTAACAATTAACGTACAGCTTCCAACAGAACCGAACTGAAAGAAATCGTATAAACTAAACATATTGTGCAAAGCAATTTTGTATACTTCGGACTTAGGGAAACTTTTTAAGAACAAATAGAAAATGCTATATTTAAGTGACAATAAGTTATTTTTTATTAATCATAACACATGTACACTGTAAAAAGAATTTTATATTGTAAATTAAAAGGAACTCCCTTTTAAAAAAACAAATGTATTGACAACTCTCGACAGTTTATTAAAATCTTAACGAGAACAGACTGTTTAATCTCCTCGCAAAATATAATGTTAGTATCTTAGAGAAACATATACTGCAAAAGTCAATACATGAGTGTTCATAAAGAAGATGTAATTATCGAAGGGTTGTTTTTAATATGTCATGCACTAATATAGTGGGTAGATGTTGTCAATACGCTTCTCAATTTGAATGCATGTGACCATTTTCACATCACTAGGTAAATAGAAGTCCGTGTTTAGAAATCGTATATGTGAAACAAACCACATGTTTGTGCTTAAAGCAACTAAAATAATCATCGTGAAGGTAATATGTCATGATGGTGAAATTATTTTATTGATTTTTTAGATAGAAGTTGTGTTTTCAGATATAATAATGTTGGGAAAAAGATTGGAAGCTAATTGAAAAATATCTAAAATTGGGTGATATTTTTGCCAAAAGTGTTTCAGAGGTAATTAAATACTTTAATATCACTCGTAGGCTTTTACTCTTAGTCAACAATAAAACATCTTGTTTACAATAAAACAAAACTATGTTTGATTGTTCTGTAACACTATATGTCCCATATTCTGAAGAAAAAAATACAGTATAAAAGTAATTAAAGCGCTGAATACCTCCAGATGAGCCAAACAAGAGTCAAGAAAACCAACTGTGAGAAAAATGTACTTAGAAATGCCGAGAAGCAAGGCGGCGACGTAATCTCGCCACAATGGCCTTAAAATACCCTAAACGTTGTTATTATATATAGTAACATAGGTATTAATGTAATTTAATGCCATTGGCTAACTTTGAATATAAATCCCTGCGACCTTTAAAGCTTGTTGCAACATTGAACGATAAGGAAAAATCGAGCGACATTTCACATTAACATTGTGACATTTAACGGTAGAAGATTTTGCGATATTTAGCGGCGGTTGCGACATTTAGCGCAGTGGGCGCATTTAGCGGCAAGAGCATTTAACTATAGCAAAGGTATATAGACAATAAACAAGAGGTAAAATATAATATAGCTTTTAATGATTTGGATGGACGATAACACAATATGTCATAGGCAAGTTTACACATAAAAATAATCAATATATGTTGTAAAAGAAATACTCACATTTTACACATTTTACGCTCATGTATGATATCAAGTTGTCATGGAAACGTATATGTAAATGGTAATAATAAATATATATGAAAGTAAAGATAATGTTGATTTGTGACGACTAAAATTAATGAAGAAAAAAGATAATACTGTAAACTAAAGCATTCGCTGATAAAAGTGACCATATCAGAAGTCTGATGAAAATGGAATATTAGAATCAATAATATGTGTAATGTAAGTATTTTTTTAGTAAAAAGTATTTTGATTAACAAATTGTTGTACACCACTTAAATCGAAGACAAGTGGCGGCCTGGCCGAGTGGTCAACGCGTCGGACTTTTAATTTACGAATTGTTTACCGAGTAGTTTCAAACAATGTCAGGGACAAGCCGTTGTTTCCATATGCAAAACAGTCGTTGCTTAGTACTGGTTGTTCCGGCATCGAATCTTAAAGTGTTTGAATAAGCATATAGCTTCCAACAAGGTCATACTAAAATAGATGCTGTATAAACTTAAACGGAGACAGGAATTGTAATTATCTTCTTGATGTTGTCGGACATTAATTTATATGAGAAAATATATGAGAAAATATATGAGACAATATGAAAATTGAATGTCTTAGTAACGTATGATAATCTCCATACTGCTGTCACGCAAAATGATATATGAATCAATCTATTAGAAAATATGATAGATAAATGAAGATTGGTGTCAAGTGACAATGTAGTTAATATATGAGGATTTCTGAAAAATAGATAATACAAATGTATGTATCACACATAATGACAAAACCGGAGCGAAAATAATCAGATAATTAGAAAATCATTTAAATATCTTATATCAAGACTGATAAAAGATAATCAAAAGTATTTTGAAAAGAAAAATACAAAAAATCTTTATAAAGAAATCCAGTTTATCTCAGAAAAAAAATCCTGCATGATATTAAACGACCGAAACAGACAACTTAAAAAAGAGCCATCATGCAAAATATATACTCATTCATAATATCATATTATTTTTTCAATTAAAACGGTTTGAAACAAATATTTCACACCTGATAAATGCAACCAATAAATGTCCAGCGTTTGCAACATTTGATCTCCAATATATCATTATTGTATCAAATCATAGAATTAGCCTCGATTTCATTTTCCGAGTCCAAAGTGTCCATAATTATTAAAGCAGTAATGTACTCCGTCTATAGCTTTGTTTTTATTTTCATAGTCCAAAAATCGTTATTAAATACATAAGCTAAGAAGCTTATATTGGACTCGTACACAGCTGCAAAACCTATATAAGACTCTGCTTGTTCCCCGTCCACTATACAATATGTTTAAAAGCTGTTCACTCGTTCATGAGAATTCAATATCGTCAAAAATATGTAATAACCCCATTCTTTTAAATAGACAAGTGAAAAACAGCATTTCGACAGCCAACAGATGACGTAATTTACACGTCACCATAACAATATCTATAATAAATTAATATAATTCTTTATACGGTTCATGTAAAAGTATAAACAAATAATACATATGATTTATTTGCTTAGCATGAATATGGTTTATATCTCAAGGGGAAACTGACTTTCAATGTTTGAAAGTTTTTTAAATTAGCTATGTCAGATAATACTTAAAAAATGAGTGATATACACTGCGTGATATAAACTGTGATATAAACTGTATCTCACTGATTAAGTCAAATAATTTGCTTATAATAATGATAAAATAATTCAGTATGTCATATATGTATTTATAAATGTCAAAAGATGTCAAACTAATTCTAAAAAGCTGTGAACATTTTCTGTTATATCCAGAGTCATTCCTTTCTTTAAATTTCATCAATTTTACAATTCGATTCAAGTAAAATCTACATTAAGATGTGTCGAATCCATTATTTAATCATAAAAGCAGTTCATACAGGAATATCTTTTGTCTATTTTCAAATGACATTGCGTGCTTCTTCAAATATTGCCTTCCAGAGATCGTGTTACATGTTACGTGCATGTTTTCTGTTTTCGACGCCAGCAACATGTTTATTCTTCAAAACAACACAATAATATTTCTGATCAATTCTTTTCTCTTGGTACCCAATGACTGTCCGCCTTATTTCCCATATATGCGTACCACTGTTGTTGATCAAACGGAAGAATGTTTCCACATCGTTTTCCCGCCTTTTCTATTTGTGTCTGGTTACTGCACGTGCAAGTCAGACGTAATCTGATAAGAGATAATATATAGCAATGTTTGCAGTGTTGCAGACAATAATTGAAAGCTCTACAAATAGCAAATGAATAAACGAATTATTTACAGCTATATGAGTAATCTGTCATGGCAGGAACGCGTTTTTAACTGTTTTAAGTACTGCTGCGTTTTCCAATTCGTCTGAATCTAAATTTAGATTTGTTTGACGCATACAGTAGGAAATGAAGATTTGGTTCTATATTTGTAGAAACAAACACAGGTGGCAGTATCAGTGTTTGGACACCCCACCCCTATCTGCCCCTGGACCCCTACTACAACCCTGAAAAAAAAGTAACACTCTAAGGCTTACTATAAGGTACCAAATACAAAACCACCGATGAAATTTAAAAAAAATAAATTTTTCCACTATCAAAATTATAGTTATAGAAAGGTGAAAAGCCTACTATATGTTCATTTGCCAAACAATGTGGAACACGGGAAATCGTCGTTTCGGTGACTGAGGCGCATTCCGGCAGGATTTCGCTGCATCATTCATTAACATTAATAAAAAGAACTAGAATTACACAGCTTATCTAATTCAAGTCTAACGAATATCACTATCATTCAGATTTTTTTCTGTTTCACGGCATTTTTTGAATTGTCGTAGCCATTTTGCAGTCTGATACTTGGGTTGAAATACGCGTTCTGATTGGACGAGCCAAATTTGACGTCCAATCAGATCGCGTATAACACACAGGTATCAGAATCCAAAATGGCAGCGACAAGTCAAAAATTACCGTGAAATAGAAAAAAGTCGATAGAATATTGATATTCGTTAAACTTGAATTAAGTAAGCTGTGTAATTCAAGTTCTTTTTATTGATGTAAATGAATGATGCAGCAAAATGCCTTCGGAATGCGCCTCAGTCGCCGAAACGACGATTTCCCGTGTTCCACATTGTTTGGCAAATGAACATATAGTAGGCTTTACACCTTTCTATAACTATAATTTTGATAGTGGAAAATTTTTTTTTTTAAATTTCATCGGTGGTTTTGTATTTGGTACCTTATAGTAAGCCTTAGAGTGTTAATTTTTTTTTCAGGGTTGTAGTAGGGGTCCAGGGGCAAACGGGTTGGGTGTCCAAACACTGATACTGCCACCTGTGGAAACAAACGGCGCAGTTCCTTTGAATTAACGAAAGAAGTGTTATTTGGTTTGGTTTCTTAATTTATTCACAGACACGTATGTTCTTCAACGTGTTTTGTTATTTAATTCTGTAAAGGAACATCATTGATTTCTTTTTCTATGCATATTGCAGTTCCTTTGCGGACATTAAAATACATTAATGTCAGTACCTGACGTCATATATAATATAATCATTTATAATCAAAAATATTGTTCAAGTAATTTAGCGATGAGTCACTTTTTGGGACAACAAAATGACCCCCCCCCCAAAAACAAAACAACAATAAAAAAAATGAAAAAAAAAAAATTTCTAGGCAATAATTGGCATTACAATAGCTAAATGGCTAAAAACCGAAAAATATAAACGCAATACCAATCCAATGGAATTCAACTCCAATGACCCATCATTTTTGATACCTGTGTAAATCTTTTTATTGTATTTTGAACCCATTATTACCTGTAAATCGTCATTTGACCCATATGGACGTTAAAGGGATCGTACTTGTCCTGACTTTCATACGTGCCCTCATCAGGTAGGTTGTGGTCACTGTTTTGTAAACATTCGTCTGTAATTGTATGTTCGTACGCATCGTGGTCCATTCCGAAATATTTACCTGCAAAATGATATTAAAATAATAGGCTTTTCAAAGAGAAACAAAGCTTGCTTTTTCAAAGTCGTTTCAACACTTCATTTTCCTGCTTGATTTGTAAACATTAATGATTCATTTTTCACAAATTAAACGGAGACTAAAGTGTGACATATGAATTTGTCTCCCAAAGGAGTCGAAAGCAAGAAAATATGCAACACAGACTTACTTTTTGTATCGAATCTAATGGTCTCTTCTGACATTTTCCTCTCAATGCACTTTTGGTCGTCTGGTAAAATAGCTCTAGTTTTGGCGGGAAAGAACCAGTATGTGGCAAACACAACATCTACAGAATGGTTATAATTATAATTATCTTTTGGCAATAATGTAGGTGCTAAGCTTCCGGTTGATAAAAGTCTTTGCAGCCCCTTTTCATCATGAGGACCAACATGGCGACGCTTTCTTCGCCTTTTATTTTTGTCTTTACTCTGTTGTAACGTATAAAACCTTTTACTTGAACGCTTCTTTGTCCTCCTAGATATAAATGATGTTGCACTATTTTCTACCTTAGCACCAGTGTTTGTATTAGTCCGCGTATCACGCATTGCTATTGGTTTTACTGTGTTCACTGAACTGTATCCACTATTAGCTACGTTTCTTTGTCTTACCCTTTCACTTCTATTTTTAGACGGGTATTTTCCTCTATATTTAGTCCTGCCGCCATATTTATACTGTGGCGCTTTTTGAAAATAATTATCGTAGTCATAATCGTTATAACCCGGTTTAGTCCTGCTATATGCCGTGCCTTGCCGTCCCCTTACCTGATCTTGATCATAATACGGATCCCGGTAGTTATAATCCGGATAATCGTTATTTTTCATTGAGTTCAATACAGAAGAAGACTGGGGTCTAAATAAACCCGACGAAGGTCCTTTTTTGTAAGTAGTTCTTTCATTATCATCAAATAACGGGGTCTCAAATAGAGATTCGCTTCCTTCTTCTTTTGGTGTCATATCGTCAATTATGTTCTGAAGTAGTAGAATATCAAAATGAAGAATTTTGCTTTTGCTTACCACTTTTAAATATAAACAAAGTTTATTAGAATTGAACTATTAGAAACAACCTTTATTTTAATACCACTTCTTTCACTTTCTTTCAAATGATTAGTCATCGCCATTCCTAAAAGCTAATGCCATATGTAACAACCATCGCCATAATTAACAACCTTGCCATATGTTACAACCATTGCAATATGTAACAACCATTGCCATATGTTACAACCATTGCCATATGTTACAACCATTGCCATATTTAACAACCATTGTCATATGTAACAACCATTGCCATATGTTACAACCATTGCAATATGTAACAACCATTGACAAATGCAGCAACCATTGCCATATGTAACAACCATTGTCATATTATACCATAACTGTCATATGTAACAACCATGTTCATATGAAACAACCATTGCCATATTTAACAACCATTGCCATATGTTACAACCATTGCCATATGTTACAACCATTGCCATATGTAACAACCATTGCCATATGTTACAACCATTGCCATATTTAACAACTATTGTCATATGTAACAACCATTGCCATATGTTACAACCATTGCCTTATGTAACAACCATTGACAAATGCAGCAACCATTGCCATATGTAACAACCATTGCCATTAGTAACAACAATTACCATATTTAACAGCCATTGCCATATCTTACAGCCAGTGCCATAACTTAAAGCAATAGCCACAGGCTTTACCCTTTTTCATTCTTTCATCATTTTTCTATTCTTTCAATAAAACATATAAAACAGAGAATATAAATATGCTCTTTTTTTAAAAGTGATAAAATTCAGAAATTTCTAATCGTTCGTTGAAAATGTAACATATATAACTTTATTTTAGATACCTACATTGTCACTGAATTCAGGATGGGAAAATCTTCGATATTCGTCGAGATATTCCGGATGAGATATCACGAATTCTAGACCTTCCTTTGTAGTATTAATCCAACTTGCATGCTCCACTTCAACACGGTCCTCTACAATTGATATTAAAAGACAGGTACGTATTCAGATAGTATCAAGCTATATCTCATATCATACAATACTTTGTTTTAATGAATTTAATATCGTTATTAAAGGCCCATTATTACTCAGAAAAATGCTTTTATTTTCATTTCTCAAATTAAAGCTATTTAATTTTAGTGTTCTTTTATACTATCCCAAAAGTAATCCTTGGCCAATTACCTGAACCATCTTTTTCATCTGTAGCTTTTTTGGCAATTAGTACAGTTATAGTGCATCAGTTTTTTGTATGGAAGTCAAAATACTAATTTGTTTACATTTTATATATTTATGACTTATCCATCTTTCTTCAGGTGACAAGCAAAGCAGCTGACATCCTCTCCGTTGTTTAAACATTATGAAACTTATAAACAGTGCAACAAATTTGAAATGAAAAGAACATAGTTCTCAAATTGATTGTTAATTAAATGTTTCAGTTATATAACACGGTAGACGAATTTTAAGAGTACTAATATAGACAAGATGCAACAATCTGGAAAAGGGATGTCCTCCCCGGAGGATACAAAAAAAACACAACTAAATTACAAGCAGTGCTTAATCGATTTGATGAGGGATGCTATAAAAGTGCATCATCTCTCACACACCGCCTCCACCCCCACGCCTGCCCTCCAACACACAATCTTTGACACTTATTGTGCTGAAATCACCATAAAAATAAAACAACACTGAAAAAAGTGATGGGGAAGTTTTTTTAGTGCTGGCATACGGCACTTGACATCTACAGCTTTGGGGAAAAGGGAGATCACTCGGAAACAAGACTAAGTAAACTTTGGCAAAGAAGATTCTCCCACATAATTGGAATGATTGTTAGAGGTACTGTAAATATAAAATGAGTCGCGCCATGACAAAATCCAGATAGTGAGTTTGCGACCAGCATTGATCCAGACCACCCTGCGCATTCGCGCAGGCTCCAGGCTAGTCTGGATCCATGCTGGTCGCAAACTCACTATGTTGGTTTTGTCACGGCGCGGCTCAAATAGTCTTAGACATTGGTGTGCTAACTTACTAAATGATGACTATATTACCTGAGTAGTAAACAGTTGATCCGGGTGGCGGTATATTTTGGCTGATTGCATATATTTTACTGTAACCATTGGTTTTAAATCTCAAACGACAAAAATCAGAACGACTTTGCTCGTGCACATTTGTCCCTAAAACGAAAATTCTACATGTTCATTATACAATTAAATGTATTTATAAAAAATGGTTTTGTTTGCTAATCGCTTACAACCTATTTCAAAAAAGATAAAGAATCTGCTATTTTGATTGGAATGAAATATTCCCCAAAGTTGGTCACTATGTCTATAGAATGGTGCAGTCCTACGAAAATTATTCGCAACTAATAACAATTTTTTTTCAACTTAGCATGATTTCTGCAAATTTGCAAAAGAATATAAAGAAAATACATAGCGACAAATGTGTACAAACCCTCTACAAATGTGAATTCCCCGCCTTGGCCCTCGTGGTCTAAGCAGTCTGCCACCCAATACAGAAAGACATCGTTCCCTCGACCTTCCATACTTATTGTGATCGGAGAAGCTTGGGCCCCGACAGTGTCTCTAATTGGTGGATCAATGAGTGGCTTACCAGTTTTACCGTCTAAGACTGTTGTCTATTCGAAGATAAAAAGATAGATTACTTATAGCATAGCTTTGTCAATTGTTGCTTCACTGTTATTCGATTAAACATTTATTTGAACTAAATTGTGAAACAAGTGAAACAAGTGCTTCAGTTCTTCAAGTCTATATGTATCACCTTATCTGCAATATACTTGTTTATAATGTTCTGAGAAAGCGTATGATAATCTATTACAATTTGTCTTGCCTTTTTGCGCGAAGACATTGTAGTATCCACAAATTTAAGCATTGGGCTTTTCCTACATGATCTTATTATTCAATTTATTTATCAAACTACAGTTTGTTAACATTCGATTAATTTAGTTACGTTCCTATGTTATAAAATTATTAAAGTATTTCTTGAGCGGTAGCGACGCTAAACCCTTTGCATGCTGGGAAAATTGTCTTCAGCTACAAATGTCGTCTGCTAAATGTTTACTTTCAAACCATTCTTCAGACGGAGAGAAAATATACAAAGTAACCTTGTTAAACAACTTTCAACTTTGCCAAACGACAAATGGCTGGGTGTCTGAATTTTATGCTTGTGATCAGTGAACTAGGGGGTTAATTTGTTCTATATATTAAAAGATGATAAATTGCGAAATATGCCCAATCTTTAGGAACGGCGATGCTTAGCTTGTAAACATTGATGAATAAAATCAAAACCAAATGGTGAGGGAAAACCTCACGTGCCCCTTTCGTACATTATTTCAGGCACGAACGGACACCTTAATGGAACCAACGACGTTCCGTAAGCTTGAAGTATACTTCTCCCAGATGAGAGAATCTAAACTCCACTTAACGATTCAAACCCTCATCGATGAAGTGCAAGTGGTCAAAGACCTTAACCACTCGACCACGGATGCCGCTAAAATAACTCCCACAACTGATATATAACAAAAGCTCACTGTTGAATGATAGTATACGGGAAAGCCTGGTCCATGTGCAAATTTAATGAGAAAATCAGGAACATCGTCGTCGTTATAAAATCCAGGTGAAGGAGTACTGAAAATATAGAACATTGTTATAAAGTAATTGTTGTAAAAAGCTGCAATAAAAAATTTGACTATGGTTAAGATGTGCGAAAGGCGCGCTGTTTTGATATTTCTGTTATTTAAAGTACATGTTTCAAAGTAATAACTTCATAATCATACATTAAAGTCTATCGTTTGTATTGAAGTTAAAGATGCATTATGCTCAAATTTAATATTTGAAGAAGAAAAAAAATGATATGTGAAATAAACACCTTTTGATTACACACAGAGAAAATATGTTACGTTTTAAACTCTTGCATACTAAAGGTAATCACAGTATGATTAGTAAACATATTGTCATTAAAAACCGGCAGTTTTGAGATCTATGTTGATTCACATTTACGAGTATCATACGAACAGCACGAACTGATAAGTTTTCTATGATTTTATCTGGACATACTCTCTTCTTTGCTGAAGAAGAGATATATTGCAAATACAGCTCAAATAATTATGTATGCAAAGATTATAAAATATTAGAGTTTGACCGAAAGTATAAATAAAAGTGTTTCATTCAAAATGTAAATATTTACCTGTATGATTCCGACCCAGGCTGTGCATATTTCCAAATAACTTTGAATGTGTCGCCATTAATCGCGAGTACAGACGAGTTAAAAACTGGAACAATAATGTCCTCGACACCGTCACCGGTGACGTCAACTAAAGCTGGTGGCGTCATTACTCCTTTAAATTTGTCCGTAAATAATGCCATTGCCTGGAAAAAATCAATTAATTGAACATTAAAGGGGAAACTATACAGAAAATATTATATGACAAATTGTTATATGTGAAATGATATGAGAAAGTTTTGTTCATACAGCATTTGTCCGAATTTTCCCCAACATGAGAGATATTTGTGTAACTTTACGTAATCGCTAAACTATTTACATTTTTTTTAAACTGACATGAAAATAATTTGTTTATTTAAATTAGTGTAGTGCTTCTGTAGATTATGTTTTTCTAATTATTTGTAATGATGGTTCTTTTTCCCTAATATTTTTTTTAAGTCTTGTATGATAATTTTTTTAGGATGATTTTACTGTGATTCGTTTCGGGCTTTACAATTTTCATATTCATATTGTTTATATTCATTTGTTTTTATTTATTTCATGGCCTTACATATTAACAAAGCTAAAATAATGAATTGATTAAATTACAGTTAATATTTTGGGCCACATAATTTGTAGATGCTGCATTTGATGCTTGAACCATTCTGTAGATAAATGGCAACGGAAAACTGATCCGTAAATTACTGCTTTACTTTAAAGGCATATCAATCCCAAAATGCTGTTACTTGTATTTCCAAGAAGTTTTTTTAGGCGCTTTGTAATAGCTTATAAAAAATATGAGCAATATAGCAAAACTATCTATTTCAACTTTTTGGCAGAAAAGTGCCACTATTTTCAGGTGACAAACCTCTAACCTCCTTTTTATCTATTATGGAACAATATTAAAACATTTAACTTTTCGTTTAAAAGAGAAAAACAGTTTTATTCCAGAGGGTTTATTTGCCTTTTAAAATTGAAACAAAACATTAAGTGTAATCAAATGCATCATTTTTGAAAATTGTTTTTTATCTGGAAAGAAATTGAAATCATTGAACGACATAAAACAGAATTATCAACGTCAAACAAAATGCATTGTCATACTACATAAAGTAATTGTTTTTTATGAGGACAAATACACTTATCAGCTAGCAGAGTTTTGCATCCATGCAAATACGCCAAATAACTGATGGAAGTATTGACGCAGAAAATGTTAAAGGTCTTGAAACATGGAAAAATTGAAGCTGTTACAGACTTGGTTTTATTTAACCTGTTCATGGACGCCAGTGATAAATGTTTGCTTTTATCCATGTTCTCTGACACCCAGGTAAGGAGAATTTAATATCTAATATAAACAATGGTAATTTAAAAGTGCAGAAACATCCGCAGATAATATTATTTCGCTTTTTTGAGAGTATAAAATTCTATGCATCTCATGACTTTCTTGCCTTTCTTATGGAGCTTCAAATTGCAAAATTGCATGTTGAAAGTTTATTGATAAAAGGAGGACGATGTTTTTTGTTCTGTTTTTCTTTGATGTTTTAAGAGAAATTGTGTAAATTAAACAAAGATTTAGTTAAATTTCACGACGGCTGTACTTTTTCTTTTCCTTCTTTACCACATTTCTATTATAGAACATTAATAATTATCAAAAAAGATTTCCAATTTTTATGTTACAGAATTCAACAGCAAATAAGAAAGTGTTATTAATTCAGCATATTTAACCATATAATTTTGTATTGCATTAAATTTTACTATGTAGGATTTAATGTTTATAGCAATCATAAACTACAAACATACATACACTGCAAATATCACTTTGGACACAATAAGTTGACATGTAAGTAGTTTGTCATTCATAACCATATGTGGACTAAAGGGGCAATTTAGCGTCTTAACAATCTAAGGACCTCCTGAATGGTGGTGTCATGCAGCATGTTTACCCAGTCATACAACCTATCGCATTTTCTACCATGTCGTTTATTGACTAAGCTTCTATATCCATATCATGTCAACAACAAATTACTGTTCTCATAGCATTTGTATGCAGTTTTCTTTTTTTATTCCAAAGAATATCACCAACTTGACATATTAATCTGTTTAGTGATAATACCTCTTGGTTACGTGAAACCTGAAACCTTAACCCAGAGATAATGGGTTCTAGCCCTACTCGGGTAACGACCATGTTTCTTCATGTTTCTTTATATGATACCAGTACTGGCTGTTTCCAGGAAGCGGACTCGAGAGTGATTAATATAAGTTGCAAGAACTTGTTTCGCAATCGAGCTTAAATAAATGTGTTTAAACCAAACATACACATAAAATAGAAACATAAAAACAAAAACAAATGGATTGGGCAACAATTTCTAACAATATTAGTAAACCTCTTACCTTATCAATATCGCCTTTGATTAAATCATCTAGTTTAATGACCCACAGAGATCCACCGTGTGTCTCTCCGCCTGTGCCAAACAATACCATCTGGGAACCGTCCAGCCCTGTGTAGACTTGAGGAGAGTAGTACGACTCGCGACCGTCCGGGACGCCCTTCCAATTGATTACCTTACCAGTCTTGCCACTCATCAACAAAATACGGCCGGATAGGCGAAACTTGCTTCCTAGAAGAAGAATAATAAGATATTAAACATAGCGTTAGTTTAAGTATACGTTATTCTGTAAAACATTGTTTTTCCCGAATAGATCAAAATAATTGTTAAAGAAAATATAAAGCAAACACCACCACCACTACCAACAACCACAAAAAAACCAACAACAACAACACCAACAACAAAAAACCGTTTCAATGGTACGAAAAGATCGAACAGTTCAAAAATGCAAAGGCGTGATATAAGCCATAAAAACAAAGATATATAGTTGTAATGAAGTTCAATATAAGATCTTAAGTCTACAAAATCACAAAAATAACAAAACCTTTAAAAGTCATGAAGCACAAAGTCATAGAAGTTCAAGAAATTAAAAAGGGTACTGAATGCACAATCAATACTGAAGTATGAAATTACTTGAATTCATTTAATGCAATAAATAAACAAGATCGCAAGATCTCAAATAATTTGAGCAAAAACTCATTATGATTCCAGTGGTTTTTAGAAAATTAGGAAATGCCAACAGCTAAGTTTGTATAGAGGCAGTTTAGCAAAATCATGCAAATATTCAATTAAATCGACATCATGTGTACTCTCGTATTCATCTCCTGTGCAGCGACTTCATGTATAACATTTTTGTCACGATATGAACGAGACGATAAACCAGTAAATGAATCTAATAAACAGGTATAGTTGCGTGGCAAAGGCATTTGATTTTACGGGGTGACAAAGTTAAAACCTCTTAACGCCGTGGTCATTTGTAGCTTTTAAATTTGTAGTGTTAAACATAGTGGTAGCAAATAAATCTTTATTTCCGAGTCTTAACTGATGCACTGAGTTCCGGTAGCCTGCCTCACACAGTTCAATAGACTAAATGATACATGTACTTCATTCTTGTCATAGCCGATCTTATTCGGTTGGTTTAAGGGGTAGACTAGATTTAAAGAATTAAAAATAATTCTTCCGTTCTATTAAATCAACGCCTAATTAATCAAGAACGTTTGGAAGTTTCAAGCTTGTGTATGCATAGGTTTACTTATGTTTATTGTTTAAAAGTCATTGATGCCAGCACTATTAAATGTTGAGAATTGAGTACCGCTTAAGCCGGTGCTAAGGGACGTGAGAGATGATGCACTTGTTCATTATCCCTCATGTACAGACTCAATTAAACCGAGTCTGCAATTTTCATATGATTTTGTTGTGATTAATGTTTTCGAGGTATCACTTTGTTTCCAGATTTTTAATAGTCACCTTATACTTAAGAAGACGTATATACTAAAAGTAAGAGGACAATGGAGGAGTACAACACGTCTACACCAGAGCTGGTTAAGTAATAGAAAGAGCATCTCGTAATATGAGGCCATCTGATCAGATTGTAAAGTTTTTGCACTGATACAAGAGTCATCTATAAGATCATGGTCCTTTTTCAGGCAACTGATTGACTACCATTTAAATGTGCAATGGACTAGTATTTCAAAGTTGAAATAGTCCATGTCTCAAACTAAGATGCCTGGTTATATTTCTAAAACATGGATGCTGTTAACTAAAGTTGGGAATCTTGTTTAATACCTTTGTTAACAAGTCATTTTTTTAAAAAATTAATATACTTTAACTTTTATCAATATTACATTACCATATATTTTAAAGTCTAGTAAAGTAACGACTTTAAACTTAAACATGTATTTCATATCAGAATCAGAGTCATGTTTTCAATGAAACAATTGTGTTTACAATGAAATGCAAAATTGTTTTTCATTAAAGGAGTTTTTCGTCGAAGGATAACCGAGGTTTCTTTTTTGTGCTTAAAATTTATAGTGAAACAAGTCAGTATCATTCGATAGAGTCACTTTAACTTGAAATCAGACGCATATTACATAATATATAATGTAAAGTAACAAAACCAGGAGAAAATATTGAAACTCTTTATTTCGCATTGAATTTTCGATCATTTTTTTCTGTTTGCTGTCTTTCTCATTTTATCGTGCTAATTTTAATCATATTTTACCAATACGGTTTAAATTGTACAAAATCTCTGTGCCAAGAGTTTCTCAAGGATATTAGTGTTAATCAGTATGCAACATACCAAGAAATTAATAGACTTAGGACGACCCATGAGAATATGTCTATACGTGATTATCTTTTTCTTAGAGAGTAGAAAAAAAACATGTCATATATCTTGTCCAGAAAAGAAATCGGCTTACTTGTCTGTAACCCTTGAATGTAACCGTTTGACATTTTAACGTCATTTACTAAGTTACATCTTCTTTAATTAGATGAGAATTTGCTCCACGCTCCATCATAACTTTCGGATTACTTAATGTTAATGTGTTTAATTACTAAATTTGGAGAGGAAATCTATTACTTAAAGAATATGTATAGTGTTTCATTTCATAAAACGTTTTTAAAACATTATTTTCAAAAACTGGTTATTAATTGACTTCCTGATAATCAAAATTGTTAGATTGTGAGAAAAAAGGGACTATACTATAAAGCCAGGCCAACCGGCACACCCATGTAGTTTTCCTTCTTGCAGTCTATCCAGGCTCTATAATATTGGTAGCTTAATTTATGTGGGTTTCTGTATCGATAAGCCTTATAAGCCATAACTATTGAATTGATTAATAGTGACAACTTGAAACTATGGTAAGTCTTAGTAAAAATCAACAGGTTAAGAGTTCAATCAAGTTTAAAAATCAAACACGTGCGTCTCATAATAACAATAAAAATGCGTGTAGAAATTTCTTTTCTAGGACAGATTATCATAACATTTTGATATTATTTCCAATATTTCACTTCTTTTTTTGCTTTTCTGATAGAGATTCTTCGAATGAAAAAATGTCGGATAGTTTTTATCGTTTTCGTAAGCAATGCGCTAAATATTCAATCTATCGATCTTAAGATGGCAAAAGGAAACAATCATCCCATCATTTTAGTGGGACTGTGTCTCTCTGTCTCCTCGAGGCTAATAAATAAGACATTGAAATGACATCTTGAGTAATTGTGGCAAATATCAAAGCGCCTTTTAATAATCAACGAAGGCTGCCCTGCAAGATCTTGGGATACTTATGCATTTTCAGACATTTCTATTTGTAATAATTTGGGCAAATGACAAAAAACTACTGTTTGAACTTTTTTTGTCACATTTAATGAATATTGGTTTAAAATTGGAATGCGTTTGGGCAACAGGAGACAGTCATTTTATCATTTTAGGGAATAGTGTCACATTGTCTCCTCGATGCTTATCAATGAGTCATTTCAGTGACATTTTGAGTAATTGTGACAAATATCCAAGTATCCAAGCGCTTTCTTTTATCTACGAAGCCTTGTCTTGAAGTTCTCGGAATCGTACTGATGTATGTTTTAGGCAAATCATAAACAAGACAATTAATGATTATTGATTTTAGGCAAATCACAAACAAGACATTAAATAATTAAACATTTTTGATTTTATTTAATAAATTTGTTTGATTAATGAAACGCCGACCTGCAATATTAAAAGAGCTCATGTTTACTCGGGAAAAAGTAAGTATTTGTCTATAAGATTTAAGCTATTGTATGTCTGTCGAAAAAAACAAGGAACAAAAAACAGTATAATCGTCGTTACTTTTAAAGTATTTACTGTCATAATGGAGAACAAACTTACTCTTAACGAATTTCTTTTTTTTTTCACACAATACATTAAATATTTCAAGTTTATTTCTGACTAAAAACAGACCCATTTTCCAATTGTACACATCTCTTCAAAATATCTAGCATTTTAGGAACTGACAAGAATTTTGTAACTCGCGACATCTCTCCAACATATCTAGAATTTTATGAATGAACAAGACTTTCGTTTACCCATGGGAGAACACTAGATGTGAAGAATAAACAGTCATTCAGTATTTCAATACAAAAACCGCTTCAGTTGATGCATATACAATCCATTTATACTCGTATGAAAATGCCATATAATGCATTGCATTCAGATACGGCATTTTGTCCGTAAATGGCATATCTACTTCCCTACTAGAAACGCTTTCAAATATATCACCCATTGTTTCTTTAATACAACAGAAAATATTATAATTCTAACTTTGTATTATTTGCCCTGTACAACAACAAATAATATTTTCCCACTATAAACATGAATATTTAGCTAGATTCAAATTTAATGCAAATATTCTGTACTAAATATTTAAAATAAATTGAATAGGAAATATTATAATGTTGTACATTGAAAATTTATTTTATTTATCAGGAGGCGAAATGTAAATTTGTTGCGATTTTAATAAAAGAATGGGAATTATTCAGAAAACCAATACAAACTGGTTGGCATGTAAAAGGCGACATAAAATGTTTAAAATAACATAGTTATTAATCTGATAAATGCCTCGCATTTAGTATGAAGACAGGGAATTTTAAATGGAATATAAAAGTATGTTAGAAGGTGATAAATGATATTTGGGCAGCATAGCACTGATAAGGACAGAGTGGGAATTATTGAAAAGCGGACGGCTCGAACCGCTTTTCCACATTAAAATTTAACTATTATGATGCAATATCACGTAAACGATAGTTTCATTAATATATATTAGCCTGAATTTGACATTTAGTTTAAGAGTAAAATAATTTAAAATGATATATCTTGCACAGTTTCTTTTTCATTTCTGGAGAGATTTTGGGAAGAATGTAACAAGAAAACAAAGTCTAGGTTATAAATTAAACTTCGCAATTGCATTGTATCTAAATAGCTTGAAAATTCTGATTAGATGTTATATTTGTATTTGTGACTACGACTAAACTTCCTGACATATTAAATCGAAATATAACTTAAATTAATATCTGTCCAATATTCTAAAACACTTGATCATTGTTTAACAAATAACCAAAACGTTCAATTCTACTGCAGCAATGGAATATACCGGTTTGATAAGGCGTAAGATGTTATGGCTTTGAGCAACGTATATAAAAGACGGTCTAATATGGTGAGTGCGTTAATAATTAATGCGGTTTTACGCAATATAAGGCCATTT